TATGGCACTATTTGTAAATCCAAGATGGCGGGCACGATTTTTCAAATAATGGCAAGTTGGGTATCGTTTTCCTCCTATTTTAATGCCTTTTATTATGTCATAGTCACAAACTACTATTTTCTTTCTGAATAATATTCTCTTTTTTAAGTTATATTTATTAGAGGAAACTGTGCTGGTTTAGAGATAAGGTTTTTTATACTATAATCTTGTATACAAATTGTAAATTGTTTGTATCCCACATAATTAAAAAAAAACATTTAATATTTGAAATTTACCGTTGGTTTGGGACCAGACCGTGGCGGTAGCATCGAATCTCGTTTTTTTTTCTGTTTTTTCTTTCTCCTTTTCAGGTGTGCCTTTACGATTTTTTTAAAATCGCGTTTCAGTTTGCCTGATAATTCCAAGGTTTCTAGCTCTTCCAGGGTACCTGTAATTGAAAAAAGTAACTACCTAACTCATATTTATTGCGAAGTGTCTACACAGGGTTATTTCTACATAGGGCGCACTATAAGTTTCCGGAACTGGCCACTTACATAAACAATATTTGAAAGTAATTAGAACATTTGAAAATGGAACTCTTAGGCTGTAGAATACAGTTTGCTTCATCTGATTGTCGTTTGTTTTTACATTGTGGCGTCATTTTAGAAATTGGTTGTCTACCCACTCACGCGATACATGCAGCCGTAGACGCATACCACACCTAGAGGTGCCAGTGATGATTTTATACTGATTTATCGGATATCAAAGTTATAACAGGTAAAAGAACTAATATTAATTGCTATTTCGGTAACTACTCTAGCAAACTTTACCATGTTTTACATGGTATAAAAATAAAGTATAATGTTGTGGTTATTTAATGACTGTTTACTGAATACTGAATGAATACTGAATGCATATTGACTTGAAACTGAAATGATTACATTTTGTATGAGCTACTTATACTAATTTGGTACGTGTGTTCTATGCTGATTCCAAGGCATGATTGTAACTTTTGCTTGCACTAAGACGTGCCTGAATGTCGGAAGAGGGTTAGACATTCTGGCACGTCTGTGGCTGGTACACAAACCATAAAGTTTTTAATGCCTGGGTTTGTCATTTAAAAAAAATAAACAACTTCAAAAATACGTCACGACAATCGTGTGTTATTGTTTGGGCTGGTGATTTCGGTGTTTATTTATTGAAAACATACCGTAAGTAGCGTTTTTTAAGTTTACCCTGAATATAAATGTTTATAAACTATACTTCAAGGTGTAATTTCGTGGTAAACGTTAGAACCACTCAAACGGAATATTATCATATTTATCCAAGTACACCAAAAATGTCATTAGTTCTTTGTAAGTGCAGGATTTGCGGTGTATTACTGCATTTTATTTGAGATGTTTTTGTTGGTAGTACGGGGGGTATTTACCAATGCAGAATAATAATTTTTATTTATAAAAACTTGTATTTAAACTGAATCCTTTTCTAATTTGCGAGCGCATCGCGTGAGCGGGTATATCACCATGGATTTAACTCGTGAACATTTTCGTAGTATGATTTTCTACGATTTAACGTACGACGTAGACGAGCGTAATTTAACAGCTTAGCGGAGCTTCACTCGGCTTCAAACTGCTTTTGGCGATGAAGCACCATGCAAGACGACTATTTACTACTACGACTATTTTTGCAGAATTCAAACGCGGTCGTGTGAATCTCAGTGACGAATTTCGTGATGGTCGTCCGTTCACTGCTGTGAACAACAAAAACATCGATTCTGTGCGCCGTATGATCAAAACAGACAGGCATGTGACATACCATGAGATTCGGGCATCTTTAGGCATAGGCATGAGTGAAATACATCAATACTATACAAACATTTGAGTGTGAAAAAGCTGTGCTCTCGGTGGATTCCACACAATTTGACAGAGGCTCAAAAAACGGATCGCGTCACTTGGTGCAATGCCATGCTTACCAGATTCAACGAAGGGGCGTCAAATTGGTGTGGGACATAGCAACTGGTGACGAAACGTGAATTTATAGTTACGATTCCAAAACAAAGCAGCATTCGAGCGTATGGGTCTTTCGAGATGAGCCGAAACCAACCAAAGTGGCGCGCGTGCAAAGTGCCTCTAAGCGGATGGTGGCTTCTTTTTTTAAAAAAACTGGACACGTGGCTACTGTTGCTTTGGAGAATCATTGAACCGTGAATAGTGATTGCTACACGACCATTTGTTTGCCGGAAGTTGCTGACAAACTCCGTAAAAATAACCGCAAACGCCATATCATCTTGCACCACAATAATGCCAGTTCTTACACGGCCAGACAGACAATGAATTTTTGAAGATGAACAACGTTGACCTTATGAGTTATCCAGCGTACAGCCGCGACCTGGCACCTTGTGTAAACAAAAGTATTTATTTCCAAAAATTAAGAACCAGTTATGCGGTCAACGATTTTTATCACCTGAAGAGGCTGTCGTAGAGTATGAAAAATATGTTTCAGAGATTGTCACGGAGGAGGATAAATGTTTTCAAAATCGGTTCATTCGTATGAAAAAGTGCATTAACGCTAACGGAGAATATTTTGAGAAACAATAAATTCATTTCTGACCATTTATAGTATTTTTTCTTATTCATTCCGGAATCTTATGGTGCGCTCCACGTACAATACTAACATTCTCGCAAACCTGGCAACTGCGCAGGACTATATTACTAACACTATACACAACAACTTTTAGTCCATGACTTTTAACAATTTTTCAGATCGAACACCTAGAAAAAAATCCTTCGACCCCATTGACTTACAAATAAATAGACGACGGGTCTAATACAAAAACCACGAAAAAAATGTCCCAAGTCAACCTATTTAAACGTAGTGACATGTAAAGGAATATGAAAAAGCTAAAACGTTGAATTTAAATTGTAATGTCATCGCAGTACTGTCTAATTTTGCTTGCTTCGCTATCAGTCGAACAAACGAAAACTAAAGCGTGAATGACGCTCTGTATACGATTTTAACGCCTTATAAGTTCGGATACTTTTTAGCGCGGACCCGACGTCCATATAATTGTAAGTCAATGTTCGACCCGGTCGGATTCGAACCGACGTCTTCTAGCAAACTGTGCCGACGAATTTCTCTAGAGTTTGTTTGTCGGATCTTCGTATTTGGTTTTCAAAGACTTTTTAGCGCACTCTATGAGAAATCCATGAAAGTATTTTGTCACCCAGTTAGATACCTTTACAGCTACAAGCCCGGGCTAGAGATGTAGCTATTAATTTTTACTTTTTTGTTAGGTGTGCGATCTTTGTATTATTCATTATAACAGTGGAGTAAATTCACAAAAAATAATTTCCGTTGAGTCACCGCCGCGGAATCTCATGATTAAGGACCACGAATTGATTCGAAACTTGTCGAGCAAAAATTCGACTTAAGTACGTGAGTTATCAGTTATTTTTAGTTTGTATGTCTGAGTCTCACGGTGGTTTTCTATTTAAAATTGTTTCCGCATGTTTAGAGCTCATAACAACTTTTCGAAGGATTTGGACTATTCTCCCATAGTCGCTATACTTATTCAAATATTTGTAAGGAGAAACTGAATATGTTTTTTTTTATTTTGTTCAGTCTGTTATTTTGTACGTACTTTATTTAATTCGCAAGCACCGTGTGTGGCTGTCATAGGAATACAAATTTACTACTAATGTATTGCATGTTAACTCTAAGCATCTTCATAGTTTGTATCCTGTAGATATTCCATCTTCAATTGATAAATACATAAATACACGGAAATAATATAAAATTTGCAGAGTTGGGGCCATGTACACAAAAATTTAATGAGTAATTATAGTTTTGTGCACAGAGCTATGAAAATCAAATATGACGCTTTTAAAACGCTTTACACGGTAGCAACCGGACTGGGCCATAAACCTTTATAAATAAAAAAAGATTGGCTAAAAATATAAACGGTACTTGGCCGCTTCTATCTTTTTGGTTTTACGTTTTTCGTTCAGTAGAGTTTTTTTGGCTTTCTTTTGGATTTATTGTCATGAATTGTTAACAAAATATATTATGTATATTAAACATTGGTTTTGTTTCTTTTATTTACTTACTCGTTGAAAATGATTGCATCAATACATAATTAGGTTTTAAAATCTTGTACTATTATTAAACACGGTGTGTACTCGACTTTGAACCCACATTGTGCAATTATTGCATAAAATACTACAAGAAAAGAAATACTACAAGTTTTTAATACAGTTGCTCAAAACGTGGTATTTTTCGTAACACAAATCGTGCCGAAAGTTGGATTTTTCGCACTAGTGCTTTTTACTTTCCATTTCTTTTTTTTAATTTAGTGTTATTTCAAATCTTAAACACAGAACTCAAGAGGTTATATATTTATTTAATATTTATATAAGTCATTCGTCATTGAAACTTATATTTACTTACAAACATCTTATTTGTTTAAATTGCATAGGTGTTTTTAAAACAACGGGTTACATTTAATTTTATAAATACCAAAATATTTTCCATAAAGATGGCTGAGTGAGTATTAACAATGACCGAAGGTGAGTATCACGCGAGACCGCTGCGCGCCGCGCCATTGAAATAGTAATTTTAATGTGACTGAATACTGGCAACAGTTGCCATTGTACTCTGAATTTTTGTCAGACAAAGAAACAAAACGAGTTTTTTTTAATACCGTTTTATCTTACTTTCAATGTAGTTTTTTCGCAAATGTATTAAAAAACGTCGTTTGACACCATTTTGATACATGTGCGGATTTGTCATTTTCACTGGTCTCGAGAACCGAAAACTCGAGACTCGTGAATAATGACTAACTTTCCGCACTTGCATCAAAAATTACTATTTTATTCACGAGTCACACAAAGTTATAGCTATAGCTGATGGCAAATTTGTATTCGGTAAGACCAAAAAATGTAGATGTTTAAATTGTTCTTTTACCTACTGTACAGAAGTGGGTGGTCTCTTATACGTTTCATAATTTTGGAAATATAACTTACCTGGTAACTGCTTCTCGAGTTCCTTCGTCTTACGGAGTGCGTACTGTTTGAACGTATCTACTTTCTTCATTGTTTTAGCTATTATATGGTTTCTGATTTGATTAGGTGTCATTTTCTTCATCGTTTTTACAACTTCTTTCGGCTTTATTTGTTTTATCTTTTTTGGTATTCCGACGATTCCTCGTTTGCACTTATTGCATTTCCGTTTCGTTTTGGTTTTTATATTCGCCATTAATTTTTCTCTAGCTCTGCGTTGTTTCAATTGTTTTATCTTTTTTTTAACGTTTTTCTCTTGTCTTTTTAATGAACGCAAGGTTTGTTTTAGTTCTTTTTGCTCTACTGCTTTTTGCTTATTAATTACCTTGACAACTTTTCTTCGCCTTTTCTTTTCTTGTATATTTTCAACAAATTCTGACTCCATAGTTTCTTTTAAACGATTCTTTATTTTTTGAGACATTTTTATGGTGTCTTTACCTTTTTGTTTTGTCTTTTTGGGTACCTTTTCATTCGTCTTTCCCTTTATCTTACCCTCCTTTTTCTTCTTCATCGTTCCTTTCTTTTCTCCTTTCATCTTTTTAATTCTGTCGCCCGCCATCTCTCCTTTTAACATTTCCTTCGTATTTCCTTCCTTTTTTCCCTTCATCATTCCCTTTTCTCTACCCAGAGATGAAGTCCCTTTATAAATGTTGTCCGCCGAATCCTCCATCCATACTTCCATCTTTTTCTCTATTTTCTTCTCCATTTCTTCTTCCGATTCATTCTCTATCCTTTCTATAATTTTTACTTCCATTTCTTCTTCCAACCCTTCCTTCTCCTCACTCTCAGTCTCTTTCTTCATCTTTCCCTTCCTTTTCTTTTTCATTTCTTCCATCATTTCCTTCATTGTTTTCATATCAATTGTGGACATTTCGAATGACTTAGCCCTAATTGTTGTCATATTTGATTTTTCGTCACTATATGTTACCCCTTTAAACAAGTTCTTGGCATTCATACGAATGTTTTTTTGTACATCCTTTGTTTGCTTTTTCTTTGCATCATAATCGGTCTCATCAGGCCCTTTCAAACTCTTTTCTTCAATTTTTATTTCCAATTTTTTTTCAAACTCTTCCTCCTTTTCGGCCTCAGTCTGTATCTTCAACATTTCAGTTGCGGATATTTCGAATGACTTGGCCCTAATTGTTATTGTATTCGATTTTTCCTCACTATATTCATGCCCATCAAGCTTGTTCAACTTGGCATCCAATTTTACTTTTTCTTGTTTGTCAATTGTGACTTTCTGGGATGGAATAACCTCCTTTGGGGGTAATACTTCTTTTGCTTTTTTTTTTTTATTCTTTTCTTCTAATGCCCTGCCAAAAAAACTTTTTTTCCTTCTCTTCGCTTCATCATACTTGGTCTCGGTCTCGGTCTCGGTTTCGGTCCCGCTCATCATCAATCTCATCCTTTGTTGTTCATCATATTTGACTCCACCAATCTTGTTCAACCTGTCATATAAATTTACGGAAGTTCGGTCATGATATTTGGTCTTACGAGGACTTTCCGTCCAGGTATACAAACGCCCCTCTTCCAACTCATTATCTTCTTCTTCTTCTTCGGCAGTTTCCTTGTTGTCAATTGCAACTTCTTGGGATACACTGTCCCACTCTGTAGCTATTCCTTCTTTCTCTTTGTTGATAATGTTTTTTTCTTCATGTTCTGCATTATCGAATGCACTAGGTTCGATTATTCTATCCGGTTCATTATCTTTTCTCGTCGGTTGCTCATTGTCAATGGTGACTGTTTGGGGTGCTTTATACAACTCTTGTTTTGCATTGTATTCCATTCCACCAGGCCTGGCCAACTTGTCACACAAACTTTCCTTCGTTGGTTCATTATATTCGGTACCAACAGGCGTATTCAACTTGTCATACAAACTTTCCTTGGTTAGTTCATTATATTCTGTATCAACAGGCCTGTTCAACCTGGCACACAAACTACCCTTTTCTGGTTCACGATCTTTTCCAGTCGGTTGCTCGTTGTCAATGGTGACTTTTTGAAATGCTCTATCCTTCTCAGGAGTTAATCTTCCTTTTTCTTTGTCAATAGCAATTTTTTGTTGACATTCTGTATCATATTCGACTCCACCAAGACTGTTCAACTTGATATACAAACTCCCCTTTGTTGGTTCATTATATTCGGTTCCAACAAGTCTGTTCAACCTGGCATACAAACTACCTTTTTTCGGTTCATTATCTTTTTCGGTAGTTTGCTCACTGTCCATTGAGACTTTTTGGAATGCTCCACACTCCTCTGTCGTTAATACTTCTTTTTCTTGGTTAACAAAGTTCCTTTCTTCACAATCTGTATTATGTTCCATTGGACTGGGCCAGTTCAACTTGTCGTATAAACTCCCCTTGGTCGGTTCATAGTATTCGGTCCCAACAGGCCTGTTCAACCTGTTGTACAAACTGACCTTTTGTGGTTCATTATCTTTTCTGGCATTTTGCTCGTTGTCAATTGTAACTTTTTGGGGTGCTCTATCCCACTCCGTAGTCAATCTTTCTTTTTTTTTATTTATGACGTGTGTTTCTTCACATTCTGCATTACGTTCGATTTCACTAGGCCGGTTCAACCTATCATACAAACTCCCTTTTTGCAGTTCATAATCTTTTCTGGTGGTTTGCTCACTATCAATTGCTATTTTTTGAAATGCTCTACCCATCTCTGTCGCTAATCTTTCATTTTCTTTGTCGTTCCTTTCGTCACATTCTGCTTTAAATTTAATTCCTCCAAGCGTGTTCAACCTGTCATACAAACTCTCTTTTTGCGGTTCGTAACCTTTTCTGGTCGTTGGCTCTCTGTTGTTTGCGATTTTTTGGGGTGTTCCACCCCTTTCTGGTGCTAATCCTTCTTTTACTTTGTTAATAACGTATTTTTCTTCACAGTCTGCATTATGTTCGATTTCACTGGGCCTGTTCAACTTAACATACAAACTGTCTTTTTCCGGTTTGTCATATTTTCTGACAGTTTGCTCATTGCCAATTGGGGCTTTTTGGGATGTGCTATACCACTCTGTAGTTAATCTTTCTTTTTCTTTGTTAATAACGTTCCTTTCTTCACATTCTATATTTTCAGTCCCAACAGGATTTCTCGACAAGGCATACAAACTCTCCTTTTCCGGTTTATTAACTTTTCTGGCAATTCGTTCATTCTCAGTTGTGATTTTTCGTGATACTTTATCGCAGTCTGTAGGCAATCCTTTTTTTTCTTTGTTAATAACTTTTTTTTGTTCACATTTTGCATTACATTCGAGTCCACCAGGTCGGTTCAACCTATCATACAAACTCCTTTTTTGCGGTTCATAATCCTTTCTGGTCATTTGCTCTCCGTCAATTGCGACTCTTTGAGACTTATCCCTCTCAGATGCCAATGCTTTTTTTTCTTTTTTAATGATGTTTCTTTCATTACACTCTACATTTTGTTCGAATCGGCCAGACCTATTCAACTTGTCATACAAAGTCCCCTTTGTTGGTTTATCATTTTCTGTCCCAACAGGTCTTTTCGCACTAGTACACAAGTTCCTTGTTTCGGGTTCATCTACTTTTTCAGCAATTTGCTCTTTAACAATTGTGACTTTTTGAGATGCTTTATTCCAATTTATACATAATTTATCTTTTTCTTTGTTAACAACACTTCTTTTCTCACTTTTCGCATTGTGTTCGGTCCCACCAGGCTTGTCATAAAATTTGTTCCCTCTTGGTGCATCAACTTTTTTAATAGTTTGCTCATGACTAGTTGTGACTACTTGTAATGCCCTAGCCCACCTTGTTCCTATTCTTTCTTTTTCTCGACACAATGCACCTTTACGGGTTTTTTCATCATCGAATATGTTCATTATACTTCTTTCCTACAACATGAATACTTTAATATCACACATGTTAAACCTATACCTCGACTTTCATATTCTGATAAGCACAGGTTTAATGTTATCCCCTAAATTAAATGTGGCGATCATAGACTATGAACATCACATATCATTAATAGAATAGACCAACTGGAAGGTACGGTAGTAGGTGCAGTCGGGTTTTATTTTCTGACGTGTGTGAAGGACAAAAAAATTATCGATACTAGTATAAAATACCAGTCCTTGGAAGCGTGTTCACAATCAAACAAGTCGTACGCCTAGTGGTAAGGGCCATGCCTGATTACATCGAGTATATAACCAGAAATAAAGACGAAATGTCATTTAATTTGTTTGAAAACTATTCTGCCATATTACTTATTACGGTGACAACTGCTCTCCGATCAACTGCGCTGGCGCCCGAATTCGAAACAATTGACGGGTGCTGTCAATTGTTTCACTTCAAATCGACAAGTTTATCTAGAGCTTATAATGGAAAAATTACATATTTAATGAAATGTGATGCCGTTTGTTTTGTAATTAGATGTTTCGCTGTTTTTCCCAAAGCCCCCCATACCTAGAGATTTATTATCTTTATTACAATAAATACAGAATATTTTTGGAATATACGGAGACGACGTACACACAGGTCAGTTGTTGGCGCTGTACTGTTTCAGCTTTCTAATTTGTGATTTCAGCGCAAACGAGAGTTGATATTTAAAAGTGATATAAGGTCCATTTGGCTGATGAGTTGCCAGGGATGGATGACCCTTATTTCGTCTTTATTTCTGGTTATATACTCGTTGACTGCCTATAACAGTTGCGTTACCACGCAGAGGTTTACACCGCAAAAATCCGAGAAGCACTGCCACCCGTTTCCCCGACACACAAAGTTGAAAAATGCCTGAAGAGTCACCAGCACCATTAACTACCCTTCAAATAAACCACATCGTTTTCTCAAATATTTTTCTTCGTGTTTATTTAGTTTTCTCACTATTAGTAATTTTTAGGAAAAAAATTAAAGATACAAAAATTATGAATCAGCATCATTGACTTACAAATAAATGGACGACGGGTCTAATACAAAAACCACGAAAAAAGTGTCCCAAGTCAACCTATTTGTTTTTGTTTTTGTTTTTTTTCAATGGTACACATTACAGAAAACAGATTAACGGCATTTTTTTTAAAAACAAAAATAAGTCTAATAATGATGAATCTGCATTCCAGTTATAATTGTACACAACATTCTAAAATAACAGGTAGTGCGATTATGAAAAAATTGAAAAATAAGGATTAATTAAAAACTAGGAACAAAATGCAATTAAAAACTAGGAACAAAATGCTTAAATTAGTAACAATATTTAGAGTTCAATAATCAATAACGGCAACTGAATTTTTAAATGCGGGAAGACTGTCGTGAAATATGTCAATATCAGAAGCTCCGATTTGATTGTAAGATGTACACATTCGATGAATAGGGCTGTTTGCAGAAACGTTATTGTTACTCAAAACTTGTGTAACAAATAACCGTGGTCGACGGACAGAACGAGTTGGCACCTTTAAACAGATTCTGTCTAGCAATTTGTCACCTAGTCTACCATTAACTATTTTGTGCAACGTACACAAATCACTTACGATTCTAGGTCTCTCCAGAGTCAATAAATCAAACTCGTTAAGTCGAGTCTCGTAGCCTGACAATTTGCGCCTCAACCCTAGCCTACTACAAAGCATTCTTAAAAACCGACGCTGAACAGACTCAATGTTATCAGTGTGGGTTTTGTATATGGGAAACCATACCGAAGAGCAGTACTCAAGTATGCTACGCACTAGCGCAGTATACAGCATGATCCATGATTTGTTATTTTTAAATGGTTTCGCGGTGCGGAAAATGAATCCCAACATTTTACTGGCCTTATTGATAACATAATCGTAGTGTTGTCTGAATGATAAGGAGGAGTCAAAATATACCCCCAAGTCCCTAACAACACACACACGATCAAGCTTCGTTCCGCCCAAACTATAGTCGTAGTCAATTGTTGTCTTGTTTTTCGTGAAGGTAATGATCTGACACTTCTTAACGTTTAATGACATTTGATTAGTTTTACACCATGATCTGATGAAGTTGAGGTCGTCTTGGAGAAGTTCACAATCTCGCTGACTTTGAATTCTGCGATATATTTTGATATCGTCAGCATAAGCAAGACACTCACTTGTCACTCTTTCCAGTAAGTCATTATAGTGCGCGCGGAACTAGCTGGCCGCGCCTTAGGTAGGGACAGGGGTGAGGGGGCGGGTTGCTTGCTGCTCGCAACGCACATGAGATTAGACAGTGACGACCAATCTCGAGATATCGTGAACAATAATTGTTCAGTTATTGAAAAGAAAAAATTAAAGCCAATTGAACTTTTACAAGTTTATATTATACCTATCTAATTAATTGCAATGTACAGTCGGCAGCACATCAGGCCGCCACAAACTGTCAGATTTCCTCAATTGATTTTCAACTTAAAGTCCAGGGAATAGAGTATAAAATTGATTGGATAAATTTGACATTTATGTATTGATGGACTTGCTGTTGTCCGTACATTGCAATTAAAAGTAAAATAAACCAAAAACAAATTAAATGAAATTCTTCCGACATATTTGAATCATTTATGAAATTATTATTAATTAATTAGTGTAACTAACACGACTTTGTATTTATAGATATGAAATTACTCTGACATATTATCCTCTGAATCACTTGATTCTGAATTGTCTGAACTTGAGTCAGAATCATCTTGTAAGTTTATAATGAATTCGTCCATCACAGTATCATATCTCATATCATGATTCCAGTATTCTTGTTCGTTTTTTTGTACGTGGTCGTCGCATTTTTGCCATTGTTCGGCAGAAAATTCAGAAAATAGTCTTGTTAGTATTGTAATTTTCTCGTCCAATGTAGCATTAATGTGATCTCTGGCCAGGCAATTTTTTATATTTGCCCACACAAGCTCGATTGGGTTGAGATCTGGATGATATGGAGGTAGTCTTAGAACAGTATGACCTGCACCTTTCAGAAGTTCATCAATCGTGTATATTTTTTCTGATTGGGTCGTATTAATCAAGCCCAAGAGTTCAGCTTTGACCATCGTGGGAGAAAAGGGCACGTTATGATTTTGCAACCAATTCTGCATATTAATTTTCATACAGGACATAGTCGGTTTCTTCTCAACTTGCACACAGTGGTAAGCTGCATTGTCCATAACTATGACTGAGTTAGGTGGAAGTTTAGGTATTAACTTTCGATCAACCCAGTTGTAAAAATTTGTAGAGTTCATGTCTCCATGATAGTCTCCTGTTTTTGAATCTGATTTAAAAATTAGCAGAGCATCGTCAACTAACCCGTTCCGACTACCAGCGTGAACTATTATTAAACGCCTTCCTTTGCCTATATCTGCATAAACACCAGGCTCCGACGAAGATTGCCAACATTTTTGGACATTATGACTTTGGTTAACGTAAGTTTCGTCCAAAAAGAATATATTTCGTTTGTCTTCTCTGAATTTTCTTATGGCCCTCAAATATTTCACTCGCCATTCAACAATGTTTGGTCTCTCTAATAAAAGGGATCTCTTCGATTTACATTTTTTAAATGAATATCCCAGTTTGTGCAAAAGTTCTCTTAAATAAGTTAATCCGCAATCTAAAATATTATCCTCTTTTAACACAGCATTTAGTTTTCGTAGACTTGGATTTGTTTTCTGTACCGTATAAAACTGATTTATTTTTCTTCTTATCACTCCTAAATCAAAATCATCAACTTGTATTTTCTTTTTTATCTCTTTTGGCCTTCGTGGAGAACTAAATTTTGCTTCCCCTGTATTTTGCAAGGATGTTTTACTTTGAGCAATCACTCTCCTTACACTTCGTTCTGATATCCCGGTTGCTTCTGCCACTAATTTATGAATATTCGCATCAGTTTTATATTCTAAACTATTGACATCGGCTTTCCGTTTTTTAAAAAACGTATGCACTTTAAATATTATTTCCTTAGATTGTCTTTTTATCGGCGGACTCATCTTGACATTGCAATCTCTTGTGCGTTTTGTCTAAACTAGCCAGAACTGTCAACGTGTGTTGCCGCCGCGAAGTCCGGCGCCGAACTGAGTATTCTGAGTAATGACATCAAGTGCCCCCGCCTCCCCGTCCCACCGCTCACATACCTAAGGCGCGGCCAGCTAGTTCCGGATCCGCGCACTATAACAAAAATAAGGAACAACAATGGACCCAAGCTTGATCCCTGAGGAACCCCAGTCACCGCCACGAAAGGTCTAGAATCAAAGCCATACAGCGAGACTAACTGTGTTCGGTTAGCTAGGTACGAAGTTAGCCACCGATAAAGATTCCCATGTATGCCCAAATGATAAGCCTTCAACAGCAAGATAGAATGATTGACTCTGTCAAACGCCTTCGAAAAATCCGTATATATGGTGTCAACCAGAGCTCTCTCGTTAAATGAATCACATAGGAATGATGTGTAGACCAGTAAGTTTGATAGCGTAGAACGGCCAGTGACAAAACCATGCTGGTTGGGACTAATTCTGTGAACCACCTGATTATATATGTACTCGTACACTATGCCCTCAAATATCTTTGCAAAGCAGTCAAGAATACTAATAGGACGATAGTTAGTCACATTTTGCGTATCATCCGATTTGTGTATAGGAGTTATTTTCGCAATCTTCCAAATAGACGGGAATACACCGTCATTCAAGGATTTGTTAAAGATAATAGTTAGTGGTTTTACTAGAGCGGATGCACAAAGGCGCACAAAGATAGGAGGTATGCCATCAGATCCAGCTCCCTTTGCCACGTCGACTCTCCTTAGATGAAGTAGTACTTGATCAGAAGACAGACTAATACCGGTTAAGGAGAAACTGGACGATGAAAAGTCTGGAACATAGTTTACATCCCTGTTAAACCCGAACACGGTCGAAAAGTAGTCTCCAAAAAGGTTAACAATATCATCGCCGGAGTTTGCAGTGCGATCTTCATAAAACATACGATTGGGAATATCATTAGTTACTCGTTTACTTTTTGTGTATCGCCAAAAAGACTTAAGACTGGTACATAAGTCCCGCTCTATATTTGCAACAAATGATGAAAAGCAACTATTCATTAATTCCTTGGCACGTGCCCTCATCAGACTGAAAGTGTCATAATCACGTGGGTTTCCGTATCGCTTATAACGTAAGTGGTATTTTTCTTTACTTTTAAATAAATTAATTAGATTATTCGTAAACCAACATGGATACTTTACTGACTTAGCTCTCAACTTCGGTGTATATCTTTCTATTATTAAATACAACGAGTTATAAAAGTATTGAACGAAGTCATCACAATTAAGAACCAAGGCTTGTCCATCCCAATCTATAGACCGGAGCTCGTCTATGCAGGCCTCGTAATTAGTCCTTCGGAAACACAACCTATCAACTAACTGCGAACAAGCTAATGATTCCGCACTGTGCAGTGTTAATTGCAATGGAGGATGATGGGAATCTACGCGGCTAATTGGTGATGCAGAAGTTAGCGCACAATCATTGGGAACATCGGTGATTGCCAGATCCAAAATTCGACCGTTACGATTGCAAATAGTATTGATCTGTCTCATAGCCGAACATCTGCAGAGATCTACCAGACACCTGGACTTTTCATTAATGGGATTCACTGGGCCACCTGTTTCCCTACACCATGTTAGGTCACTCATATTGAAGTCCCCAACAACCAAGGTACCAAAATTGCCAGCCATATTGGACACATTCGCAACAGTGCCAACGAAGTCTGTATACATGGCAACAGGCAAATAATCAGGCAGATAAACAGTACACAAATTAAGCGTTAAGTTTCTATTTAGTGTTACCTGCAGCCAAATATCCTCCACAAAAACTGATTGCCAACTCGCTCTGACCTTTACATTTAACTTCTTGGATACCGCGATAAGCACACCACCACCATGGCTCTTATTAAATTGTTTCTTAAAAACGTTATCGCGATCCCTTCGGAAAACATTGTACCTATCATCAAATAACTCGGATGAATGTATAGAGTCCACCAACCATGTTTCACAAAGACAAATGACATCATAGTTATTGCTTAGTACATTATTATAAAAGCCAATAGTTTTAGACTTTAAACCACGCACGTTTTGGTAATAAACAGTGATTGTCATAAAGTAAATAAATCTGAATAACCTGGTATTAACTATTAAACTATGTATTTTAAACTGTCTCTATTACGAATTAAAATGTACTGTGAATCCGGAGTCTTTCTAACGTAAATTCGGCCACTTCGCACCCAAACAAATTTATATCCCTTTTCTTTGGCAGCTATACGCGCGGCAGCATGTAGCGATTTATTGGTTGGCGATAGATGTTCTGAAACATACACAGGTGTCTTTGCAGTTCCAAATCCTAAATGGGCTGTGTTCAACTTTTCTTTTGGATTGGATTTATTGAACCTGTGCACTGCAGAATAAAATTCGTCGCGACACCTTACACTGCGGAATTTTATTATGATTGCCCGGGGTCGCTTACTCTCCTTATCTTGTTTGGCCACTCTTGTGTAATTCACGATATCAGTGTCGTCGACTTTGTGACCAATAGCTGAAGCACACTGCTTTACAACTGTAAGTATGTTCTCACTTCGGTTCTCAGGCACACCGTGAATCTCCAGATTGTTTTCCCTGAGGTGCTGTTCAAGGTCGTTGACACGAGACCAGATTTGTGTTAATGATGATTGTAGTTCGATATTATCTTTTTTCAATTGACTATTCTCTTCAGTAACAGTAACAACCGACTTACACAATTCGTCATATTTATTACTTAAAAAATCGACAGACTTGCAGAGCTCATTGAAACTGTTTCTAAGTGGGGCAAGTTCATTTTTTATGACAGTCTTTAGTAGGTTAGGTATTTCAAGTTTAATGGCGCTGATGACTTGGTCACGAATGTTAACAATAAATTCCTCCTCGTCCCTGCCGTCAGGGTTCGCCACGTAGTCACTGCAAGATGCTATCGAGCTATCGGTGCACTGACCACCACGTGCGCCGCGAACTGTTATACGCGAAAAAGATAAATCGCTTTCCTCTCTGGTGCCCTCGGCATCGGTGGCTACCTGTTGCCGGATTGGTGTATTAGAATTGTCGTTCTTAGGTAATTTGCTGCGGCAGGTTTGGCAGATCCAGGTTTTTCCCTCTCTACTCTGGCCGTAAAACAGTTTTGTACTGTAGTTGGCACATAATAAATCGTATTTAAGATTACAATTGGAGCACTGTAAGTACTCCCTGCTATTGTTGTTAGACAACCAGCGCACTTGATTGTGCTAGTTGACATGAAAAGAAAATTGTGAGAAAATAAATTTATAAATTATAGTAAAGTATGCTGTGTGACGTAGACGTAGTCGTAGCCACTGAGTGCGTAGACAATGTGACGTAGTTTATGCGTAGCAGTAATGGCTACACTAATTTCGCCGGGCAACTCTCAATGACCGGTGGCGCAACCGTAGTGCGGCCGACTGCAGAGCTATGGGGCCCGCGCTCGAATCTCAGCCGGGCAAGGCAGCTTGTTATTTGAATTTATTTCCACTCACAGCAGACTCCGCCAGATGTCAGGGAGGCTCCAGGCCCGGCACGCACCTATGACTCTTGTGACGTCACAACGGAACGCAAAGTGACGGTCACCACTGACGCCAGGCACGCCGAGCGAGAGGCAGGACAGAATTCAAGATGGACGCGCAGCCTTACGAAGACAGCCCCAAGATAGTGCGAGAGGGGTCGATAAAATTCACCGGCACCAAGACTAAAGTGAAGCACACTAAGTGAGAGGTCCGAACGGAATCCAAGATGGATGCGCAGTCTTACGAAGATGGCCACTAGACAGTAAGAGAGGGACCGATATTCGCCGAACATTGGATTCGGAAGTAACACAAACTGAAAATACTAATTTAAAAAGAAACCAAAAAAAAATTTAATTTAAAAAACCGCGCACGTCCGTTCACATGGAGCTCCAAACATAGAATTTAAACGTAGTGACATGTAAAGGAATATGAAAAAGCTAAAACGTTGAATTTAAATTGTAATGTCATGGCAGTACTGTCTAATTTTGCTTGCTTCGCTGTCAGTCGAACAAACGAAGACTAAAGCGTGAATGACGCTCTGTATACGATTTTAACGCCCTATAAGTTCGGACACTTTTTAGCGCGGACCCGACGTCCATATAATTGTAAGTCAATGATCAGCATGGATAATTTTTTGTTTTTTTTAACGCACTCTCATAGCCCCACACTAGAGAGACACCGCCATGGACACACACATAGACAACCACAAATTACACCCAAATTCACGAGAGCAATAAATGTAGACCATACAAAAATATATATCACGACACAGGAATCGAATTCGGGACCTCTGCGTGGTGGCCCACTCCGGGTGGCTTCCGCGGCGCATTGATAGGACCGGCACAGTGTGGGAGACGCCGTAACGCCATATATATAAAAGAATATTGTAAGAAATATTCATTCTTATTCAATATTCCGATTCGATTTGTTGTTCGATTTTTATTATTCGATTTGAGAGTCAGATGAACAGAGATAAGGTGATCAAATAAGTTTTTATGGTTATGTATACAATCCACATTCACAGGTTTCATTAAACCGGCAAATTACGCAGTTATACGGAGTTTTATTGAAGAAAAGGATACCCAAGTAAAGTCTGGTCCGATTTAAGGCGGATACAGCAGGGTCCCAACATAAGACATTTAATTTCTCTAAATAAATTTCGAACCCTTGATGGCCCCTAAAATACAGCGGACACAATTGACCACTCATATCTTTGACTTTTGTTTCTCGCTCTCTCTTCGCTAAGGACGCTCGTTCACCGCGAGCATTCGCTTGTAATGTAACGTTCAAAAGTGAGCATTCAAACAACCACTCAAAGGCACTCGTGGGCTCTCGCGAGCACTCGCGGGCACTCCTGCTTCTCGCAGGCACTCAAAGGCACTCGCGGGCACTCAAGGGTACTCGCGGGCGCTCAAAAGCACTCGCGGGCACTCAAAGGCACTCGCACGCACTCGGAGGCACTCGCACACGCCTTGCTACCTCGCACATCTCTGGTGGAAGCGTAGCCTAATCGAATCTTGGATGTTACATTCCAGCCGAATGTTCGTCGGTAAAGGAGGGCTCAAAAACGAAACTTAAATGTTATATTACAGGCGAATGTTCTCGGTGAGGGAGCGCCCTAACGTTTATTAACAATTATTGCACTTACCAGTTTAATTTTGTACCTAGAAATAACTTTCTTGTTGTCGTCAGAAATTTTGGTTTCGGAGTTGGTCTCTTTACTGCTTGATGCACGCTCCCTAAGAGGAGCTCGCGGTACTTCAGAGAGAGAAATGGAAAAACATATTATTGTTATTTATTTTAAGATCGAATGAATTTTCCTATGGTCGCGACCAATGACTGCAACAGATTAACATAATGCCAAACATGGCGGCAAGGTCACATCTGATTTTAAAACGTTTTAACAGTTCTGCACAGTAATTTCATCGACGTAAAAATTTAATGCTACAAACGAGATGAACGGAAATAATAAAACAAAGAAATTTACATTTATTTATTATAATACATTAATTTATATTTTTATATAATATGTATATAACTTATAGGAAAAGGTGAGGAGAACATTTTTAATACAGTTCAATACATGAGAGTAATTAGAAATATGTAAATAATAACTAATAGTTTAGTTTAGTTTATTTCTGTCAACATTACAAATTTCATACAAATACAACTACATGTCATTTTATACTACTCTTCGAAAAGTGAATGTCAGTTTACAAAATAATGAAGAAACAATTATATAATAGTGTACATATACAAAATCAACATAACAAAAAAACAAGTGTATACAGAAATGTCAATATGGATTCTTAATAACTAATAAATGTTTATTACAGTATAATATAATAATACGGTGAATGTCAAATTCATTAATAAATATAATAATTTAATTATTTATTAAGTACTTGTTAACCCTTAATTACTCGCATGGGGTCAACTTACCTTTACGCAAAATAAAATAATGTAAGATCGATCGGAAGGCTATCTCGCAAAAAGTGGCTTCATAATTCGCGGCAAATATGATATTTTAGTGACAAATAGGACGTCAAAGTGTATGCACACGTTACTGCACTCTTAGTGCGTGACCCCATGCGAGTAGTTCTGCCGTCCACATACTAAAACGCTAAGTGATAAACGATCAAATATCCGTTTTAAATAGAAAAAGAAAGAGCACAAAATTCTCTTTTAAAACAGTTAAAATTAGTTGACGTATTCGACTGGTTGGAAACGATGCATAGCTGAAGTATCATTAAACAATTTCAATTTTCTAAAACTGGGTTATGGTTTTTTTATTAGTCAAAAAATAATTTTGTCACTTACCTCGTTTTTAGTTAGCGGATGACAGAGTTACGTAACATTTTTTTTTCGTGGTACGAGTTAGAGAATTGACCAATCCTATCGCTAGATAAGCGTCGACTATGCAATAACTGTGCAAAAATCATTGACTTACAAATAAATGGACGACGGGTCTAATACAAAAACCACGAAAAAAATGTCCCAAGTCAACCTATTTAAACGTAGTGACATGTAAAGGAATATGAAAAAGCTAAAACGTTGAATTTAAATTGTAATGTCATCGCAGTACTGTCTAATTTTGCTTGCTTCGCTGTCAGTCGAACAAACGAAGACTAAAGTGTGAATGACGCTCTGTATACGATTTTAACGCCCTATAAGTTCGGACACTTTTTAGCGCGGACCCGACGTCCATATAATTGTAAGTCAATGGCAAAAATGCATGAAATGCACTATATTTGTTTTCAACGATCACTCTAGGGCCTTTCGGTGGTTTAGAACCACAATGAGAAATGACAACATCTTCAAATAACCACTTCTACAACTGACCACTTCTTGAAATTACAATTTCTTTAAATGCTACTTCTACAAAAGAACACTTCTTTAATACTACTTCTTGCTTCAGTTTTACAATTCAATATATTTGGGCTTCGGATTAGGAACATTACCACAAGTTTGGCGATGGACCTTTAAGTATATACATTCGATATTTCATATTTCCGAAACGAAACAACATAATAAAAATTCAGAATACCTACACCTGAAAACAGGCCTTAGTTTGAATAACGCTTTACAACCATAAGTCGGTTTTGAAGTGCGAACAGCAACCAAATTCTACGACTACTTCAAAAGGGCATTTCGCTTAGTAAATACATTTACTACGATCAGACAACGCGGACTGAAAACATTCACACTCATGCATTCTGTTGCACGCGTTACATTGCGCGTCATGAAAAACTGCCATTTTTTTAATATCTCAAATTTAAAGTTGTTTCCCAGTAATTTATTTTTGCTTATATTATGCGAATATTTTATTTTTACATCCCGTAGTCCTGCGAGGTTGTTAGTATTTTAGAAACAACCTAGTACATAGCGCCAATTCAATATCGCCTTCAAAAGGCAATGTAAGTTACAGCGTTCAGAGAACTAATCTGCAGGGAATAAAAATCTTTATAAGTACATTTATACATAGGTACTTACTTTCCTCTTCTTCGTTCATTCTTCTATGAGTATATTTAAAAAATCCAAACAATAATGCCTAGAATTGTAATAAAATTAAAATTCATCATTTGATTTCTTTGTTTCCGGCTCGTCCCATCTGAAATTTTACATTTACTGTATTATTTATTTAATTTGTCCTCATCCACTACGCTACAGGGACGCAGGGCGTGCCTTATTTCAGCGTGTTCATGGTCGAGTTTTTGAAATTTGACTAGTCAGAAAAAAGTTGCTATTTAGTCGGTAAACAAAGGGATGACTAATTATAAAACTTAGCGACTATAGTCCATTTGTTTAGGTACTAAATGTAAACAAACTTAAGATGTCTATTTAATGAAATAGAAGTTTATAAAATGACTCTTACTTACCTTCAAATACAAAATCAAATAAACCGATTGACATCTGTACAACTGACATATATATCATCTAATCTGTACTATGCAATTTTAATGTAATATAATCATAATAGTAAAATCTAGTGATAATTTAATATTGACATCTTATATGATAATTATAACTTCAATATGATAAGATAATAATAGATTTAAATGTAATACTCTGAACTATAGTCCATTTGTTTA